CCTACCCATGTAATATAATTCAAAATCAATAACACAAAACAAATAAATCAATGAATAAAATCTTTTAAGGTAATACCTACTTAACCAGATTACCAGCGAATTAATAAACTACTTTATATTTTAATGTAAATTATATTATTATGTAAATATAATTATTTACTTACGTCGCAACATAACTTTAAAAAGCCCAACCTTCAAACTGATGAAATAGTACATCGTAAACACATTCCTGAGCCTACAAATATCCTGTATGACCGGCTGTTTAGTCACTTAGGTATCTATTTTTAATGTTATTATAAAAAAAGATAAATAACACGATCATTCCGCCTCTGTTAATATAAAAACATGCAAATTATAGCCGTTAAGTTGTATGGATTTGGTTAAATAATACATGTAGGTAATAAAATTCCTTGGAGGAATGAAGATTATCCGTGGCAGATTATTTCTTTATTGAAATCAAATAGGGCACAACCGATTTTTTGTTATGTTATGTTATGTTATGTGTACTCGATTTATTCTGTTGGGTACAACACTATTACACTTAGGTACTGTTCGAATCAACTTCGAAACTAATTTGAGTTAACTTCTGACCTTACGATGGCAGCAATTAGACGCTGGCTTTGTGTGCGTGTGCATCAAACTGGCTTGACCACTTTGTCTATTAGGTATATACTTTAGTTTTTTTTTTTTGGACAATATATTTATTGTTTTTCTAAACAAACAAATATCTTATTTCCTCGTTATCTCTTATAATATTTTATTCAAAGGTTATTACATAACATTTCAAAACTGGACGGAATATTCTTCTAGAACGTTGTTCTACATAAGGTTGCGTAACATTTTTTTTTATCTTGAATATTTAAAAATAATTAAATACATTATGGACCAACTTAACGAGCAGGTTATTTAAGCACTCTGACACCTTTGACAAGGTTTAGTCAAGTGAATATCCTCGGAGGGTGAAGACCTACTTTTGTTTTAATATTGTGTCATTAGTAGTGGTACAATGACTGATAATAGTGCTAATAATCAAATTCAAAAGAGAAACAATGTGGATATATCGTGCTGGAATTGTTTTAACGTGGAAAATGAAGATAAAGACAGTGAAATAGAAGTTCCTTTATCTAAAATTCGTCAGAAAAATAGGGAAAAATTTAAATTATACTCTATATTGGCCTCGGAAGTAACACGACCTAAAGCAATCCCGATCAAACAAAAAGTGCGCGAAAATTATGCTATCGGAAAAAAGATTGAAAAGAAACTAGTCGATGAATCTAAGAAAACTAAAGATGTGTGTATCCAAGTGAATGAAGAAACATTAAGAAGAAGAAAGGTGCATGTACCTAAAGACTTTGAAGACGATGCTGAAAATATAGTTAGTGAATTTTCTCAAAGTGATGACGATAACACTCCGCCAATTAAGTCTGCTGAAAGAAAATGTAATCTAGTTAAACACAAATCTAACGTATCTTTGGATGCCAGAAATGCTACAGTAACGAAATTTAATACATTAATAAACCCAAACAATGTGTCGTATGAATCCGTCTATACGACAAAATCAGAACGAAGTCATCAAGTGACAGATCGGTTAAAATCTGGGTCATCTTTTAACGTATGCTTAGAGTCATCCAGAAATACTACAACAACGAAATTAAATTCAGTAATAAAACCACATAATGTGTCCTTTGAATCTCCGTATACTGCGAAGGCAGAACGAAGAATACTAGAACTCGATAGTCCAAAATCTAGATCCACTTCCAGTGTATCTTTTGAGTCACCTAAAAATATTACTGCAACAAATTTTGATTCATCAATAAAATCACTCGATGAATCTTATAAATCTCCATATACTACAAAAGCAGAACGAAGCAAAGAAGAACTGGATAGCTCCAAATTTGGATCTACTTCTAACGTCTCTTTTGAGTCAGCCAGAAGCACTGAAACACCCAAATTCGATTCATTAGGAAAACGGTATAAAATGTCGTATGAATCCCCATATGCCACAGAATTAGAAAGAAGTAAGCATGATTCAATCAGCTTAAAATCCGGCTCCTCTTCTTTTAACACATCTTTAGAATCAGCGAATAGAACTACACCAAAATTGAATTCATTAATAAAACAATATAATGTATCTTATGAATCCCCATATACCTCAAAAACTGAACGAAGTAAGCAAGAAGTCGATAGCTCTAAACCTGAGTCTACTTCTAACGTGTCTTTTGAATCAGCCAGAAGTTCTACAACGCCCAAATTTGATTCATTATCAAAACAACGCAAATTGTCATATGAATCCCCATATACTTCAAAGGTAGAACCAAGTAAACAAGATTCATATACCTCAAAATCAAAGTCTTCTTTCAACGTATCTTTGGATTCAGCCAACAGTGCTGGAACACCAAAATTGAGTTCATTAGGAAAACAATATAATGTGCCTTGTGAATCCCTGTATACAACAAAGACAGAAGGAAGTAAACAAGATTCAGACAGCTCAAAATCTGAATCTACTTTTGATGCATCTTTAGATTCAGCCAAAATTACTACAACAAAGAAATATGATTCAGTGACAAAACCACACAAAGTGTCTTACGAATCTCCATATACTACAAAGACAGAACGCAGCAAGTCAGATTTAGATAGCTTAAAATCTGAGTCTACTTTGACTGATAAAAGAGACACATCTTCTGAATGTTCAAATACTACTTTATCTGAAGAAAATCAAGACGAACAGAAAATTTCTCATAATCAAAGTACGTCAATTAAATCTCAAAGTTCTACAAACGAAGATGGCAGTGACAAATCGGAAATAAAGTACAAAGTTCAAATAGAAACGTCAACACCTAAAACTTACATTGACATAAAGGATGTTAAGGTCAAAGAGAACTCTTCTCCAGAAACTACACCAGATGGGCAAAAACATAAAGAATATGATATAAGAAGCATTTTAGGACGAATTCCAAAAACGTCAATTACTGAAAGAGATGAAAGCGTTACAGAGAGTGAGAAAACTGATAATACTGGTTCAGTTACTTCAGAATCTGGATATGAAGGATCTTCCATACGTGACTTACATGACATCGATTCTTTAAATAAAAATTTGGCATACGGAAAACATTCAGCAAGTACCAAATCTTTGGGTTCATCGTTAGCGGCATCATTAACGTCATCCTCTATTTTAACGAATTCTAAATCTAGAGAGGATTTCAAAACTTCTTTGCCATCACTTCATATCACTCAGAAGAGAAGAAACATTTTGAAGTCTACCAAGTCCTTATATGCTGATATCGGTGACACAGAAATTAAACCCGTCAAATGTTTACGTTGGAGTACACTCGATCTACCGCACGGGTCCTCAAATATTGATGGTAAGCTCATTATCCAAAACTTTCAAAGATTTATAAATCGTTATTATTAGGAATTTATCCAATTGAATTGTAAAAAATTATAAAATGTCACGTTTCATATATAATTCCTATTAATAATTATATACAATGCGGTGATGCCATGTTAATATATTTAGCAATAAGCAGTACTTATTAGAGGAAAACAACAAAGGTAAATGTCCCGTCACTAATCAAATAATGTATGTCATTCGAACAGTCACTCTGTGCCCGTCCAGACTTACGCACTTAATTAATGGAATACTTTTAGAGGTCCAGGCACAGTTTCATTCAATGCAACACGTTGTGGACAACGAGAGTAATTCACAACGGTTTTTGCACCGCGTTCTATCTCCAATGGTATCGTTATGCCAGCATACATACACAGTTCATGGATACTAAACAACAGGAAACGACCATGACATGTAAGATACGATAAAATACGGATTTTGTGTGGAATTAAAATAAAGTGATTTAGTTCAGTGAAACGCAGTCGTGTTGCGCGTTCGTATAAAGTGTAAAATAATGGTTTATTCCGTTACTTATAAATCCGAACCTGGCTATTCGTCTATAGAAAATAAGACTTATAATCGTGAACAAACAAATAAACAAGATTATCAAATAGTTAACATTTACCAAAGGAACACTGTGGAAAGTGATAAAAAGATGACATTTGGTTCGTATTTGAGTCGGTGTTTGTGTTGTAGAGGTACCTCAGATGATGAATTCGACTCACCCATAGACAGCCCATCATCTGCCCTTGTGCGACCTATTGGGAGGAGTTATAATGTCAATGAGGAAGCAACAAAATCAAACACAGTACAAGAACCGTGTATTCCTTCACTTATAGTCACTAGACCTTTGGATGACGAGTTTTCTACTTCTACAACACTTTTGCTAGCTTCTGAGCGGAACGCAAGTGCAATAAGTTTAGGCGCCCAAAAATATGAGGTGAAAAAGGTCATAACCACTCCATGTGAATCCTCCCAGGAATCTGATACCAACAGTATCTGCAGTACTGTAAAATCTGGTGAGAAAATCTCATTCATTCGAGAGGTTTTAATGTGTCGAGACACTTTTGTAAAGTCTTTAGAGTGGTGCGATAATTCTTTGACGAGAGGCAAAAGGTGTCGATTTGTCAAACCTGACGAATGGCTAGAACTGAAGAACGATGGTACCGAAATTAGATTCGACTACACTTGAGGCACGCCTTGATAATCACAAATAATTATTGCACTACTAACTCCACAAAGTTTTGATGTGATTCGAGCACAAGGAACCAACCTAATTAGTTTCAACAATTTCTAAAGAACTTCACTTGTATTACATACACTAATATTGAATGCTCTTCTTCTATCAGTTACTTTTCTTTATTTTTCTTTAACTAAAAACTAAAATTGGTTTGAGTTAGAACGATAAGCTTTATGGAAATCTATGTATGTAGCTAATTATAGCGTCCATTATTGTATGTACCTATGTTTATCAACATCAGCCATGTTAAATTGGTTTCTAATTAAGGGCGTATGAGTAAAGTATGCATGATATAACACATTTTAGGAAATCAGTATTTCATGTAGCATTTATAAGGCACATTTTTATTATGGTTGTTTATTTTGTTTGCAGATGAGGTGTACATGTCCGACTCAGTGTCGCCCAACCATGCAACGTTGCCAAGGCGTTCTAATTCACCACACCACGATAGAGATATGCTCGACAGGGATCGGTACTCGCTCAACAGAAGCGGACTACAGGTAAAATATCATTTAAGTTAAAACTTAAACCATGACTAGACGTAATAAGATTATAAGATCTAGAACTCAAGCAAACGATGCTTTAATTTTTGAAAATTGTATAGGATTTTGCTTCTTTAAAAGTGCAAAGTCAGTTTAAACTGTCAAACACCGCGAGGACACCGGTGACCGCAACCTATTGTTCTTTAATTGTGTCTATAATGACGGTACGCAACGAGTTAAATACAATTCACAATGAAAAGTAACAACAACTTTAGGCCCTAACTCGCTAGTGGCGCCATCAATAGCACACTAAAACCCAATTGGTATTGTGCACATCTAAAGTCACCTTTATTTTCTCGGACAGTTGACGTCATACATATGCTGCTGCGCGCTACAAACATTCAGTCGTATGACTATAGGTTGATACTGTACACTGCGTCACGGAGTCAATTAATGTACCAATAGAATTTTACGTTATTTCGATCTAGTTATTGTGACGTTTTACCTTATCATAAGCGTAAATGCAGTATCTTCTGTTAAGTAACACGTCATTGCACATTGCTTTGGCATAAATAATGACGAAATTTGCATGTTTTTTTTTGCAAATAACCCATCGTTACATTCAAACGTCTAAAAATATTCTAACCTCTATTTTGCCAACATTACCTTACTCAATGCGATCAATTAAACTAAACAACCACAATAGGTCGACAAAATCAATGTTTTGGTACAACTTTAACCGTGAATATACACCTACTTTTACAGTAACCGTGTCGCATAAATGTGCCTCTGGTTGTAAAGATACCTTTGCAAGCGAAATACGACCTTTTGGCGTGACGTTAAGGGCGTTTATGTTCTAGAAACGTCAAGTGTAGGAGTATTGTCTCGATGACCGCGTTGGCCATTGTATTATATTACTGCGTTTTGCAACACGGCCTGCGAACAACGAGACTTTGCAAAACGTTTACTTGAACGAATACTTGAGTTTTGACATGGTAGGGTTAAATTTAAACAAAGAATAAGCTTAAGTTACCCATTTGTCTACAATTCTTCTTCTATCCGCTTTTCTTCTTTTAATTGGGTTACTCTAATAAACCCGTACAGAATCAACGCTTGAGTTGATCAGACGAATGTGTGGAGTAAAAGTTCGTCTATGTTAATGCTTCCGTAATTACAAAAGTTATTAATCCAATCAAATCAAACGACACAACCAAATAAAATTGTCGTTACGATATCATGGAAAAATTAAATCAGTTAGGTAAGATAATAGAAGAAACGTCATTAAAATAACCTTAGAATAGTTTAGGGCCCTAAATGGATAAACGTAATACAATTGTTATGGGAAGTTGTCAAATATCAAACAGTTTTATGCATATCAAACATAATGAATTCGCACTGGGCTTGGCCTATCGTGCTTTACACTCAATGTTGTAATATTAATCCCTTATAAAGTATCATAGTGTGGGTAGATACGATAAAACCGTATTACTCAATGCCATACGCGGCTGTTTGGCCCGTTTCACATGTCGCTATACTTAGGCAGTACCTAAGTACTTAGATTACTTTGTTGTGTAGATCTAAAATTAGGTAAATGCACATAAAACATAAAATGGTTCTTTTAATTAAAGAGTTGGGCTTGATCTCACAATATAATGAGTTATTAACAACAATCTATCGCAAATTACTTGAAAAAATAATATAGATAGAATGGAAATAGATGTTTAGATTTAAAACTATACTTGTATGAACCTCCAAAGCACGATACCATTATTTACTTTTATAGAAACTAAATTAAGTTAAAATATTTTTTCTCTTTATTAACATCAACAGAAACAAAGAAAAAAACTTGTTTACTGAACGAATATAATAACGTACCCATCACTCTACTTACGTCATGCAGACACTGAGAAAATAACCGCTACTTAAAAGTTACAACTACTGTAAGTTGTTTATACTTCGATACAAATAACATTTACCGTGTTTCCTTCATTTATTCAAACATGTGCGAGGTTTTAGAAAATATGAACAGTTACCTGCACGTAAAGCTACCCCTTCAATTTCTTTATTAGATTTTCTACTTTATTAGGAAGCGATAAAGTTAGAATTGGAAATCTTAAGCGATTGATGTAGGTAAGTTAGTAGATTCTACGTACGCAGAAAATAAATGACATGTTCCACTTATTTCCAATATGGCGGCCGGTACAATCGTTACTTCGACATTGACATTAAAGAAACGTCAAAATTCGAAATAAGAATTCACAGATAATAGAGGAAATACAGATGCTCAAGATAATTCGAAAATCAATTTACTTCGTGTTCTTTTGTTATTTATTTATATGAGACACAATTTATATCGAGTTTTATCTAAATTAGATCGTTGACATTCTAGCTTTAATAAAAAATATAAATAAAAATTTGCAAAGCTAGATTTCATATAGATTGCAACCAGTATAATAACATGTATTTAAAAATAGATTTTATTTGTTTGTTGGTTCTTATGGCGGTATAATAATATGGATACTGACTTGTTTCACATTATTGTAAAATTAAAATGTATTGTCTGACTGAGGCTATAGAATAGAACTTGTATAATTCGGGTGTCAAAATTGGTATAGTAAAATTAGTTTAAACCTAACCAAATCGCATAACAATGTCCACCGTTATAATATAATACCTAACCTATTTATAAAGATGATGACTTTCCTCATGAATGACAAAACGTTTAAGTAAAATTTTCCATAAAATTATTCTAACTTCAGTAAGGTATTAATCACACAAATTCTTAACAAAGCCTTCTTTGTATTGCGCTGGTTTATTCTGAAGATCAGAAACTAAATTATGTAAGTATACCTATTATACATGCATGCACCGATAAACTGGAAGTCAATATACTCAATAATATTTTGTCCTTCAAACAAAAAACTACCTAGTCTCATAAATAACAAACTACATAATCCATTGATGCAGATTAAATAATCAGTTGAACAACAAATGGATTTCCTGGTCTTATTAAGGTAACTTGACATAAACACTTATGACTGTATCGGGCATAAAAATGATGCCTACGCAGGACTGGGTCTGACTAGAGCGTGGTACAAAGTAGACTACATTTTTTGTCTATTGTTTCTAATAAGGGTAATAGATTATTTTTATACTAACAAAGGATTAGGTAAAATATGATTTACCTATTTGTTATGACAAACTAGAATTCTGGTGCTTTGTTACGCTTCAATAGATATTTTTTGCTGATAATATTTTCTCATTTTTGACAGTCAATACTTGGGTATAATGCTACTAGGCTTTGGACTTTCCTGTTTAGAAGTTTATCGGTTCGAACCGGATTTTAGGTGGGCGATATAATCGTCGGTCTCGATTGTCGTATAAATGACAGTAGTTAAGGATGTCTGTGTCTCGATTGTCGTATAAATGACAGTAGTTAAGGATGTCTGTAAACTCAATAAGTTCAACTAAAGATGTCGTAAACTAATCAGTGGAATCTTGATTCGAATTCCAATCCAAGTACCGAATAATTATGCTGAATCTGATAGAGGTTTCTGCTTGATAAATACTATACCTGTTTCGGCTGTTTTCACTTCTAAACACTAGATTTCTATATCATATAGGCCATGCGAATGAAAGCAGATTAACATCTGTTTTCGAAAGACCGTTACACCACCCGCGTCGCTGAACTTGTTCACAAATTGAGAGAATAAATAAATTCACATTTTGATTACCCAAATGTAGAATGTATCCCCGGAATAAAACAAATACCACACACAAGTATTCACGCAGGAATTGCAGTATCGAGTGACAGATAATGCAACCAAACAAAAACATGCCGTATGGTTGGTTCAACGTAATTGTAACTCAGTTGGAACGTGGTAGCAAAGCAAAATGCTATGTGTTCCCTCAACGCTTTATTTTTAGATAGTATTAGACCTAATTTCGCGTGAACAACCGCGTCAGCTATTTAGTACGGATATCGTGTTTGTTTATCCCTTTTCTCGGTTGAATTTTTCAGCTTACAATGTCCATTCGGAACAATAATTTTAGTGATGTTAAAGTTTTGGTGAGGAGTTTATATTTATCACTTTGTTTTCTGTTCTGTTATCACCTGCTTATACCTATTCCTGTTAAGCTGATTTAGAAAAAAAGGAATAATATTGTAAATGCCCTTTGTTGAAAAATAAAACATGACGATGAAAAGAATGGTTGACCATGACTAATAATATTTTTATTTATCTCCAGGTTCGTTCCGAATCTATGGCATCGGTTTACTCTGGTGCTGGTGAGGGCACTCGAGCCAACGTGACCATCAGAGGAGAGGTTCAGATCTCGTTGCTGTACAACTATAGGCTGGGAGCTCTGGAGGTGGGCGTCAAGAGGTGCCGTGACCTGGCTCCCGTTGACGTGAAGCGCAACAGATCCGATCCTTACGTTAAGGTAATTTTGATTTATCATTTTGAACCTAGATCATGGTAATTAAGGTCTAATTTAAGTAGTTCACATAATTATCCAGACATGCAGTGTAATGTATCGAAGGCATTCTTTTTAATTTGCTATGTATAGCGAGACCTTTCTACAGATTTGTGCCAAATTGAACTTTGTGACAAATATCATCAGTTTCTTTAGCATTAAACCAGGTTCTAGCGTTTCCGAAAAGACAACACAATTAATTATAAAACACGTAACTGTTATTCAGAAATGTAGTCATTTGAAAATAACAGTTTATTTATAGCCAGTGCATATCGCATCGTCTGTCCATCCACTTTAATCCAGCACATTGGAAAAATTTGCATAAACGGTAATATTGAGCAGGTGAAAAAATATCAAAAATGGCGAACACTGGGGCAGGTGACGTCTAAAGATTATGGAATGTCGGAACATAATTTTATTTCAATGTTATATTCAAGTACTGAATTAATTTTACTATAAACCTGTCTAAAAATAATCAAGTTTAGCAAGCCCATGGCCATGAGGGCCTATCAACAAACTTAATTAGCATACACCACGAGAATATTAATACGTATTAAAATATAACATGAACTAATCTACTAGTTATATATTGCGTAACAATAAAATTAAGGACATGTCGTTTCAAAAGACCTGTCTACAATAAAGGACAAATTCTATGGTTACCATTTTTTTTCAACAAATCCTAAATGTGTATCTAAATGTAATTAATATCTATAATTATGGTTCCATCTACTTTCTTGATTATTTCATAGTCTATTTGGCAAACGATCATATAAGATGATGATCACAAACTGATTCAAGGAATAACAAGGTAATGCTAGACTTGACGGCTATTTCCATAACGAATAAAAGTTCTTCGTTTGATAACAGATATCTTAATGAGAAAGAATATAAGAATGATAATAAAACAGTAATTAATTCACAAATAGATAAACCAATAACGGTTTAAACTTGAGACACGGAGATTTTATATTCAGACGACACAAGATGTTGATAAACCGTTATAGAACTTAAAGATGAACACTATTTAAATTACAATGGAGAAAGCAAGCAACTTTTGTAGAATCTCTCTTATTCTATTTCTAATCTGAAAGTATAATTTGACCTCTCAAATTGAATTTATATCAGTCCTTTTAGTTCCTTCCAAGATACCCTTATTTAACTGAGGGCTTGTTATGATTAGATATCTTATTTAGAAAGCAAGGCTGAAGACAACAGCTAAATTGGTCTGTCTTTTTTTGTACCTATTTAACGGGCCGACATTTAGCCACTATATCGCTTGGTGGTAAGCAGTAATGCGGCCTACGATAGAGCACGTCTCCCTATAAGCAACCTATTCACTCAGGCCTTGAAGACACCCAGGTTATACTCTGCAGTAAACACAGACTCTGGCAAAGAATTCCACTTCAGTCTTTGTGAGAGGCTATTACACTGATGAATGAAATTTATTTATAACAATTACAATTCCATCCATTGCAATTCCTGATAACAAAGATATACTAACTAGATTTCGAAAGCCAATGAGTAATTATCATTTATTGCAAGCCCGCCACGTACTAATTTATTTATTTATTTCAATTAAATAGTATAACATTACAGTCATAAAACCAAGGCGTTATACATTTCAAATAATTATAAAAAAAAAACAAAACAGAACAGTCCTTAAATAAAACAAACAATAAGAATAGGAAAACCTTACTAATGAATTAATTCTTATATTTTCAGGTGTACTTGTTACCGGACAAGTCCAAAGCTGGCAAGAGGAAGACGAAGGTGAAGAAAAACACCTTAAACCCTGTGTTCGAGGAGACACTCAGCTTCGTGCAGCCGCTGGCCTCGCTGTCCGCGCGGACACTGTGGCTCAGCGTGTGGCACGCCGACATGTTCGGGAGGAACGACTTCCTCGGGGAGGTCACGCTGCCGCTGGCCGATGTCGTCTTTGACGACCCCGCGCCCATGTGGTATAAGTTGCATGAGAGGGTTAGTATTCACTTTTAACTTTTATTATTGACTGTCTAGCCGACTGCCTCGTTGGCCGAATGTTCGCAAGTGCGACTGCCAGGCAAGGGGTCTCGGGTTCGATTCCCGGGTCGGGCAAAGTCTTACCGGGTTTTTAAAAATCTCAGTAGTAGCACGGAGTCTGGAAATGTGCCCGGTATATGGCAATAGGCTTACCCTCTATTACATGGGACTCATAACATAAATAGTGAAAAGTGGGTGTTACATTGTACAGTGTTATTAAGTACCACAATGTGCACCTCTGCCTACCCCTTCGGGGATAAAAAGGCGTGATGTTATGTTATGTTATCTGCTTATGAGGTTTGGTATGCGAGGCACAATGTGTTTTCTATTGTGTCTCATAGCCGGCAGATAAAAGGTTAATGATGATGTGAAATAGTTAAGAGTATGACAATGATGAGAAATTGTAGGTATTTACTTATTAAAACTGTACTATTAGATTTTTTACTTTTTTTATGTTATCAATTTTAATTTTATGAATACATATTACAGAATATATATATTCGTATCCATATAGGAATAAATATAAACTAATTTACATATGTAATTTAAATATGTAATTACGCCAAAAAAAAAAAAAAATTACATATAGTTACTATTAGATTGATTTTCCTAAAACCTTTGTGAGAGAGACCAATAACTAAAGTGTGATTGGTCTGGTCGTTATTTATTGTATTCTAATCAACCTAATAGTCGATTAATCAACTCTCGAATCAAAAGGTCCAAACTAGAAGTTGGTGAATCGTATTATAAACAAAATTGTGATTTTGTTTTCAGACGGAACAATTTGACGAGCAGCAAGGCAGTCGCGGCGACCTGATCATAGGTCTGAAGCTGGAGCTGGCGGAGGGCGCGCGCGGTAAGGGCACGCTGCATGTACTCGTCAAGGAAGCTAAGAACCTCGTCGCCACCAAACCTAATGGACTCGCTGATGTATTCTGCAAGAGGTTAGTTCATACTTAAGTTTATTTCAATACTGTAAGCAACTGGAAAACTGGCATATATACAAGGTGTCCGGTAATTAATGGGTAACGTTGAAATGTCTAGTAGTACAACTTATGGCCGTCCTTTATCTAATATTTTTCAAAATTAAATTAAGTACCTACCGGACACACTGTGCACAGAGTACCAAGCACGAATAAATATCGCAATCGTAACATAATAGTATCGAGCGCGTTAGGCGCTCTGATTGGTTGGTTTACTGAAGCCGGCTTTGATAAAAACTATTTACTAATTAAGATTTTATTTTAATACGTAATATTTTGTATGCAAAAGCATTCATTTCACTTTGAATCTGTATGATTATTCATTACTAAAATCGAAGGACTTTACCAGGCGACCTTTTTTTCTTATATACTTTATATTTTGTCTTGCTAACCATATTCTCTTCTAAGCTCTAAGATGGATTGGTCATCTCTTAGCGAACGCAATTACCTATAGAAAGTTATGTCTCCTCACACATTTTAATGCCTATACCTAACCATATACTTACTATTAAGTAAAAATCTAACAATCCCTTACTCCTTCCAGCTACTTACTACCGGAACGGGGTCGTCTAGCCAAGCAAAAGACGGCTGTATGTCGCCGTACATTAAGCCCAGTATGGGAACATACGTTCACATATCGAGGAATAGCACCGCATGAGCTCGCCCAGCGCGCGCTTGAACTATCTCTCTGGGACCGCGACCGACTCGCCTCCAACGACTTCATGGGCGGCGTCAGACTCTCACTTGGATCTGGTATGTATAGTTACACTTACATATTGACAGTTTTTGTAATAATTGTATTATAGAATTGTAGAAATTCCAATAGGAATAGGTGGTACCTATGTACTTTAATTTTATGTATGTGTTATCCTTTATGTTGTATGTGTGTACATAAATAAATAAATAAATAGTTCTAAGGAGAAAATTACAGAAATCTAAAAAATATTGAGACTAATTAATTATGTTTAACGGCTTATTCATAATATTAATCCCTACCTTTGGGTCTGGCTTCAAACGCAGCAGTTACACTAGTAAATAGTTATTTGTCAATTTGTTATTTGTCATATCAAAATTTTGATATTTGATTTCTATTTATCTGGTGTAAATATTTTATACTTATATGGAGTTTAAAGTTATTGTACTTAATAATGGTGATTTTTCTATGCAGGAACCTACATGGGTGCCAACGTCAACTGGATGGACAGTACCGGCAAGGAGGTGACCCTGTGGCAGACCATGATGCAGCGACCCAACTTCTGGGTCGAAGGCTCACTACAACTCAGACCTAACCTTAGCAACTGAACTTAATACGTTACTGGGCAGTTCTATAGAAAAACAACAACTATTAGACAGCGCTACTTACAAGATACTAAATAAATATCATATCGTGCCAATTTTGTATAAGCATTTCTTACTTGCAATAAGAAATCGATTTTAATGTCAGAGGTCTCAACCGTAAGTAGCGCCATCTATGATTTTATTACGGTAACTCTAATATCTATCTTGGTGTTTGTTTTTTTTATACTTTTTCTATTTTTTATTTTATTACAGTGATATTATTTTTCATTTAAATCAAATATGTGTATTATCATATTGAGGTGACGGTATTGAATAGATTATTTTATAGAATTGCCCACCTGATTAGTTTTGTTGTGCATCCCTAACTTTAATTCGTAGGAAATTAAAATGAATACATAATTACGTATCTATGATCACATGACATCGAAATCTAAACAAAGTATTGTAAATGAAACTGCGTTGAGTGTATTCAATTTTATTATATTCATTATTTTATATTGTAAAACATTTTTCTTAAACATTGATACTCTACTACTTACACTGCTAAACCCAATCCTGTTTCTGTGGTTATAAGTGCCAATAACTCAATCTATATGTACCTATTTTATACTTAATTATGTCCTAAGTACTACACATCAAAATATTTACTCGTTCGATATTTAGATGCCTAATTTTGATATAAAACATTCCATTGATATAATATTAAAATAATAGCTTTAAGTATCAAATGACAATAATATTTTTTCATATTTCAAACTGCCTTTAGTTAGTTTACACTAAGTTATGCATTTAAAATAGAATTTTAATGTACAAATTAAGTCTACATGGGTTTAAGACGAGCTCATGCATATTGTGATTATAACATTTAGGAGTTAAAAATTGAATGAATGAATGAATGATAAATGTTGCCTGTGTATAATAATTGGAATGCAAGTTAAATGTTAAATTTAACGACTATAAGACGTCCGTAGTTTGTATATTATATTATTATAGACATATTGATTCATAAGTATTTGTTTATTATAATATAAACTTAAATATTTTTTTATATAAACTTATTGTGAATTTAAAACAATCTGGAAATAAATATGCTGAATAAGTCTTTACGTGATTGTGTGTTATTTTCATTAATCCTTCTAATTTAATTACACAATTAATCCAATTAATCTTTTGACCGCCACGTCAAAAAAGTAAAGACGTGCCCTTAGCGCCAAGCTAAGAATTCTATCTTAAATAGTTTTTTAATATTATTACAAAGTTTTGTCACTTTACGTAAATATAGACGAAATTTATAGAAATAATGTCAATAAATATAAATAAAAATTAGTCAAGGAGCATAATTAGCAAAAGAAATAGTCGTGCTGGGCACTTTTTGACTTGTCATCTATAAATAACTCTGACGGTTAAAAGGTTAATAGTTGTTATTTTCTAATAGTCTTTCAATTTATTTACGTGCATCTTGAGGTGTCTAAATTGGCAATGAATTTTCGGTGTCTTTGTCAAGAAATTGTGATAATGTCATTCCAGTGTTTCTAAATAGCTTGGTATGTTGCAGTACATGATGCTGTGTCCCTTTATTAGAAAATTCTATTACTACCGGCCGGCGTTGGCCTTGTTTTCCAATCCTGTAGATGTCTTCAATGTGGCCTGTGAGATTGATACCAGCATAATTTTGGAAAATGTTTATTATTCTGCTGTGTAAATCACTTTCAGTTTCATTGGTATTTACTGCTATGCCACGTAGTACAATTTTTTTATTGTTTTCAAGATTATTCTTGGTCTTGTTGGCATTATTGATTGCGGTTTTGTGATTTGGTTCTAATCCTTTCAGCTCTTGTATTTCGTCATTCAATCTAACACATTCATTCTCTATACTCAACATATGTTTCTTCAAATGTTCTATTTCTATTCCGGTATTGTCGTGGTCTAAACTAAGCTCGGTTAACTTTTTAGAATTCTGTTTTAATTCATTCTTTAATTCATGTGTGCTGTTTGAAATTTTTGACTCAATCATTTGTTTATTAATTGCTTCCGAGAGTTCTTTGACTTGTAACTTAACGACCTGTTTAACTTCTGACTTAATAAGTTCTTTAATTTCAGACTTTAGAAGTTCTTTATTTTCTGTTTCGATGTGTTCTTTAATTTCCGACTTGATGAGATCTTTAATTTCTGGCACTATGAAGTCTTTAATTTCTGTTAACATTGCCTTTCTATTATTTTCAAGTTTTCGATCCAGAAGTAGTTCGAGCCTTTCAACGAACATTTTATTTCCTGTTTCTTTGGGAGGTAGATTCACTTTAGAGACGGCGTTAGTGTTATCGTCCTTTTTCCCACTTTTATTAATTTTGCATAGCGCATTGTTTTCGTTTTTGCTTTCTTTGGTTGTTATTTTGGGATTTGAAGGACAGATCGAAGTTGATTGAGTACGGATTCGACTGTATGAATTTGATCCTGATTTGAGTTTCATACGAGAGCATAATTGACAATGCCATGCGGATAGTTGCTCGTTTGACATTTTGCACAAATACGTATAGGTGGATAAGTTTGCACATTTAAGGTGAAAGTTTTTACGACAAACCGTGCATAAGATATAATAACTCCCAACAAGGATATCTTGTAGACAAGTCACGCATGCCATGTCTTCAGTCATCTCTTGCATGGTGGTAGATCTGCAGCGTAAAATCAATAATAGACTGTAAATGCGCGTATAGCGGTGTTTTAGTTCTACCTGATTATTCTAGGTGGCGTTCCGTTCCGTGTTCAAAGCTTGATGGAGCTTGCTTATCCACTTAGTTTAAAAAAAGAAAAGGTATCTCGATGAATTCTCGATTTTTCAAGTTTGTAAATGTATATTATTATTTACCCTCTATTTATGCACTTTGAATATTATAGGTAACTGTTACCCAAATATCTTGCAACTATTATTGAGTTTGCGCACAGGCACTTTATGTTTTATCACTATTTCTGGTTGATTGTCACTATATTCTTGTTTTTATACACTTTCACTTTGGGTTTCAATGATATTTGGTTTATTTGAAATATAACCACATTGCCTACACTATTAGGAGCAAAATGACAATCTTTATAAAATATTGGGTACTTAAAGGCAGTGAATGAATAAATTAGATTTTAAAGCAAAGGAAGGTATGTTTTTTAGGAATATTATGTGAATTCACAATAATTCACTTGTACCTACATATTTTTAGATTTACATTACTTGCCGTACCTGAGCCGAGGAATTAAACCCAAGCCACCTTGCTCGGTACTGTAGTCGTACTTATGACTAATCTAACAATGAAGCAGTCGTAATAATAGGTAGGTACTTGAAATATTAAAGTAAAACAAAATAAGAATGATATACCTCATAGCAATAAAAAAGAAAGGAAAAGTAATTTGTATTATCTGTTGTACCTCCAATTAATTTAATGAACCAAATAATATGCAGCTAAATAATACAAATTAATAATAATAATATTAAAAACGTTGCCCCACACTAGGATTTTCTCCTGTGTCGTGGGTGCGTTTACAAACAAATAAAAATAAATATATAAAATACGCCTTTATTACTGAGGTTACAAATTTACAATTTAGTCTATATCACTATACTATACATCAGTAGTTTTATCCCCAGCTTGTCCTTCGACATAGGCCTCCTCCAAGGATTTCCAGTTTTCCCTATCCCTCGCAATTCTCATCCACTCTCTGGTCCAGCAGTTTTCCATAAGTCATCTTCCCAACGTTTTGGTTGTCGCCCTTTGATCCTTTTCCCATCTCTGGGGTACCATTCTGATATTGTCTTTGTCCATTTCATATTCCTCTCTCTTATCATATGCCCTGCCCATTGCCATTTTAGTGTTTTACATACTTTCCCTGCATCTTTAAATTTAGTTATTTCCTTAATTTTTTCTAGTCTTTTCTTATCTTGTCTTTTTACTTCAATTACACTTCTCTCTATTCCGTTCTGGTATACATTTATTTTTCTTTTTAAATTTTCCGTTAGTGCCCATGTTTGGCATCCGTTTACAAACATACAATATCAAATAGGTACATGATACACGTGACACCCAGACCCGAAGCAACAATTAGCGGGTCACACAAAGAGTTGCTCCATGCGGGAATCGAATACGATACACGTTGCGCGGTTGCCGAACCACCGCGCCTAAAGTACAGTCGAATATTGTAAAAAAATAATGACGTTATGCCTTCTAAGTAGAAGTTGGCATGTCGGAAAATTATTTCCTTTTCGTTCATTTTATTATTATAATAATTATTCATTCACTCTTTTGATTTTTGACAGTAATGACAGTTTGAGTTTGACATTAACTAACATTACGACTTGGTCGTCCGAGTTGCCACAAGAGACAGCGGTTATTATTGTTGGCTTGGGTTTTTATTGATTTTCAATTGTTTTCTAAATTAGTATCTATAATTTATGAATAAATAAAAGCCTCCATTACAATGCTGTCCTTTCAAGACAAAGTATTCTTCTACCTTTGCATATCGTTCGCCACATTTAAAACAGGTACGAATTTTAGGGCGTTGTTTGTTATTATTTTCAATTAAGTTATTTTGGTTTCTATATTATTTTTCTTTTGTTTTTAGTTTATTCAATAAACTGCTACCAGTGTTCAGGGACGGATTCGAATAATCCTTTTCAATGTAATGAGTTTTTAGAGACCGATGTCGATTTACAACCTACCGATTGTGCGACGATACACAACGCTCAGTATTGTATCAAGCACGTCGGCCGGTTCGAAGGTGAGAGTTTAAAGGAAATACGCTCTAACCTTACTGATAAAATTATTATTAATGCAGCAATGACTTGACTAATGGAATTTAGAACAAAATCCTTATTGGACTGATTTGGGGGATACTAAACTTGCAGTAGTAACATTGCCTTCTAATCAGCTACACAACGGTGTTGGTTTATTACTAACTCTTAACTCTGAATCATTGCAGAAATGACCTAGTTACAAAACTTGGATAAACACTTCTGCAGATAAGTTAATTTATTTTAGTTTCTTTATTTTATTTTATTTTGTTATATTATTTCAATAATGATATTAGACCAGAAGTAAACGGAATGCTCCTGAAAAACACCAACAGGTGATAGTAAAAATCTAGTTTTATTTTCAGAAAAATAAGGAATTAATTGTCTCTTTTCTGCAATAACAGTTGTAATCAACCGGTCAAGGTTAATGTTGCACAAATAACACATAAAAAAAGTTTTAAAATGCTGACTACAAATTTTTGTTTTAACAAACAAATTTTTTTAGTCTGTACTTTTGGGAGCATTCCATTTACACCCTGTATATTTGAATGTAATAGTCATTGTAATATAAACCTAGGTCTAGCCATAGAGTGTTACCAATGCAACTCTTCATCATCTATGGAATGTGGTGACGGACTGATGAACTTAGATGGGGGTATACTGAAGCCTACACCTTGTGACCATGTGTATAATGCTCTATATTGCATTAAACTAACAGGTTCTTACTAACTTTAAACTATGGGCTCTGGTTTTATATTTTAGTTTATAGTAAAAGCACTCTTTTATGGAAGGGGTGTGTGGCTTGTGGATGCTGATTGTAGTATATTCTTTGGTTCAATGGAATGTAAATAAAAGCATTGGTGTGCTTCAACCACCAATAAATAATTATTATTATTGTAGCTCTTTACACTACTAATACTAATGGTAAAAAGTTCACCGGGTGCTTACTCTTGAAATCAATCTCAATGTCAATACAATAAAATCTCAATAATTATTCAATATCAACACTATACAACCCCTATCGTAGCTGTTTAAATAGCATTCAGAGTACGGAATATAAAACCGAACTTGGTGCCATTTAGTTCATCCAATAACCTCGCAATATGAATACAATGAGCGCTAGTGTTGCAACTCAAGAGTATGAAATGTCACTACCAATGTTGATCGATCGGAATTGGATTCAAGAGTAAGCAACCTGTACCCTGATTATTCCAATGCAATATTTTCTTTGTCATCCTGACAAACATTTGAGTATTCAGGTTTATTGATGCACTTAATGGCTTTGAGATTTACAGCACTGGGCACAGGATATGGTTCACTAATAAAATAATTTTATTTTTGGTGAGTATTGCACACTTCACACACATTTAGCTAATTATACACATAGATCATTTGATTAAACTGTCAAACACCAAGCGGTCACCGGTGACCGCAACCTATTGTTCTATAATTGTGTCTATAATGACGGTACTCGACGAGTTAAACTGCTGTAAAATAAGCTTGTGAAATGTTGAACATAATTATTGATTACTTTTTACAAGTTATGTTAGTGACCATTCAATAAAAGGCAAGGCAATCCTATATAAAAAGAACATAAGATCACACCTTTTAATCTTTTATAGTAACAATGTAACATTTTTACATTAATATTTTGACTGTATAATCCCCAGGCAGTCACCGGTGACCACTCTCTACTAACTCCATTATAGACCTTATTTTCGATGTTAGAGACTACTTTTGTATGAACAAGAGTCCCATATTTTACAGAATACATAGAAATATCATATTTAGCTTGAGAATAGTTCTAAACTCAACGGCTAAATAAGAGAGTTATTAGGATCCATTTTAAAAAGGTTTTCCTATTCTTTCAGGTGGTATCAGCACAAAGAGGTTTTGCTCATCATTAGATTTAGGTAATTACTGCAACTATGTACAACAGCCGGGTGACAAACTGGAGTACAGAACTTGCATATTTACCTGCGGCAGTGACGGATGCAATGCTGCGACAAACTTAAGTTTCTCTGTCCTTCCGTTAATATTACTCTTTGCAGCCACTTATTTTATGTACAAATTCTAATTGTATACAAAACTGCGTACATAGACTTTTTTTAGATGTCTAATAACATTTTTTATATAGACCAGTGTTCTTGTAGCAGCTGACTTCAGTGCCTGAAAATAATGATTGTACATAGTTTGTGATAACTTGATAGTTTCTGAGCTATTATTTTTATTTAATGTTATTTTTTCTGTGCAATGTACCTAATATAAGTACTGAATATTTGTCCGTCCAGTAAATTACATTCCAATTTATAATTATAATTATGAATTATAATATATGATTTTTATTAATTCAGAAGATATTTCTACCTCTTTATTGATTGAATCTCTTTTAGTTTCCGTTATTGACTGACTAGCAAATAAAATAACTTTGTAATGCATACATATTTTATACACGTAGGTACGTATTTTTGTACAATAAAGGTTGAATGAAACTATTGCTTTTTTATTTCAAATTTTTTAACCTACTTCTCTAAATAAAATGGACTGCCTCATTGGCCGAGCGGTCGCCAGTGCGATTACTGGGCAAGGGGTCTCGGTTTCGATTCCCGGGTCGGGAAATGTATTACTGGGTTTTAGAAAATTCTCAGTAGTAGCACGGAGTCTAGAAATGTGCCCGGTATATGGCAATGGGCTCACCCCCTATTACATGGAAAATACTGAAATGTGGGTGTTACATTGTACAGTGGCATTAAGTGCCGTAACGTAATGTGCACCTCTGCCTACCGCTTCGGCCCTACGGGGATAAAGGGCGTGATGTTATGTTATTCTAAATCAAAGATAAGGAGGTTCTCAGTTTAACATGTAAGTGTTTGTGCGCGATTGGCTGAACCGATTTTGGTGTGGTTTTTAGAAGTGTTTATTACACTTAGGATATTCTAGTATATTAAATAACCGCCTTTAAAAGAAGAAGGGGTTGAAATCGGTTTTTTTAAAACACAGTTTAAAAAAAAAATATTTGTAATTTTGTATTTAATGACATTAGATGGCGGACTTAATACCAGGTGGCATTCTCTAACAGTCAATCATGGGGGTGATTAGTGGATAAATTTGTGTTTATAAAGAGGCCCATACCAGTCCAACGTCACTTCCACCCTGACCATCAATTATAAAATTTATTTCTGAAGGGTGTTTTTAAAAGATTTGTTATTTCTAGCTAACTAGCTCCTCTAGTTTTTGAGATATTTCTGATTGTCATAAAAAAGTCTCTTATTTTTTTATTGTTCCTTTATTTTAGGCAACTGTGGCCCATTTAAAATATGTATTTATACACAAATAAATAAAAAAACAATATAAAACTAAAACAGATAACAATGAAATTAATACATCAGTAATAATTATTATTGTAGGTACACGAAGAGACGGCATCGTGTTTCGCTGATTGGTGCATCACGTATGACGTATCTAGCCCGCCACGGAAACGCCGATACATGACACCCTTCGGCCAAAACGGTTCCTTGAGAAACGTTTCAAAATTATTTTTTTGGAACCCGCACCCGAACGACATTATTATTATTTTTTTAAACGTTGCCTCACACTAGGATTTTCTCCTGTGTCGTGGGTGCGTTACAAACATACAAGTTCACGTACACATTAAGTTAGTATTGTGGCACGACTCCAACCTCTCGACTCTCAAGGTCCAGTTCGTCTCAGTCACATTCGTATGTAAATACCTACTCCACGACATCCTCTACCTTCGTATAGTGATGCAGTCTGGATACGTACAGAGCTGGACGCAGCAGCATGTTGAGTCCTGCCAGCGCAGTACCGCACTGGTTGCGGCAAAGAGGGTTCTTCCTCCTTTCCATATTAGTGAAGCCATCATTGTCACCTATTTCAGACTAGGCAGGTTTTGCTTGACCCCATTTTGTTCTGACCGCTTGTTTTTCTGCGATAATACAGGTTGGCTAGTGGCGACGATATCTGCATAGGCACGTTAAGGGGTCTACGTATCAACCTACACAAACCTGCAGCCTGAACTTGCACCGTGCAAATACAGGCTTGTAGGTGCAAGTTGCACCGGTGTTGAAGTGCTTGCGGCGGTTGCGCGTGATGCTACGATTGCAGTTTTAATGGGTGACGCACTCGCCACCGAAGAACCGGTGGTCGCTGCGTTTTCCGTTCCATGTCTTGTGTTCATGTTGGAGGTGTCAGGTGCCTAGTTACCGATAAGTACCTCGGCACGCAAGTCATGGGCGTAGCCAGACATAAGCTTAGGGTGAGGCAAGTCTAAAAAACCGGCAATCGCGCGTTTTTACACTAGTTATTTATTTCGTACTAAGTAGTAAGCACTGTGTAAATACACAGCAAAACGTAAACAGTTAAGTCTATGAATCTATCTATACTACATGAATACCTACTTACAATCAAAAAATCCATGGATGAGATAAGTAATAGGTTCGTAGTGTCCAATTAGTCGGGTCGCAGTTTTCGGACTTCGACGAAAAGACTTACCGATCACACCCTCAAATCTCACGACCATGCAACGTGCTATGGTGCTAAAAATTCTGCCGAAGCTAAGATTAGGTGGATCAATAGACACACTTGCAAATCTCTGCGAAATGACATCCACATTAACTTAATACGAATAGTATTAAAGACGCGATACCAACACTGCAAAATTTCGCAAGGGAGAAGTTTGAGCCTTTGGAGTAGCTAAGATGGAGGCAGAGCGACTCTATACCATGTAAGTATGTCGCGGAGAACCTAACGGGTAACTGGGGCTCCGGCTCGACGTGCAGGAGAAGGAACGGGGTGGTTTTTAGTCAATAAGAGTCTGACACTCCCTCCCGCCTCACCCAGGCGGGAGCAGTCATTCGATGATTTTCCCCCCTTAAAAAAAAAAAAATACCATGTAAGTACATAGCGGACAATTAAATTAGTTTTAAAAAAGTAAAGATCAACATGGTGATGATGGAATCACATCAAAGTTTCTGGAATCAGATAAAAATCCGGACTGAAGTCCTTCATTCTCTTTAACCTACCTGAAGCTTACCCTACCTATCTCTTTGTCCTACTTGAAGGAGTAAAGTCGTAGGCAAGGGACAGAAGTAAAATGGGGTGAATAGGGTTTCAGCGGCGAAAAGGGACAGAAGAGGGGTGAATAGATATAAGGAAATTCTTCATAGTATCGATTCACCCCTCTTCTGTCTCTATTCACCACACAATCCCTATTCACCCCATTTTACGGTACTAAAGTGTGTGCGATTCGAGAATGGTGACAACAACCCACTGAAGAATGCCTATCTCACTTCTGAGCCATGTCTACAAGCTTTTCGTCTCACCCGTAGTAAGTCGCATAATAATAATATGGTATTATGTGATACCTCTTATTTTGACTGCAGCTCGACCAGGCTAGCTTTTAGGGATGTAATGTTTTAAAGAAGCCTGGCTACGTTGTCGTGGTCGAACGTGATGGGCGTTATATGGGGCAATGGGAAAGGGCAAATGGGAAATAAAAAACATATAATACTATCCAAACATTTATTGAAAATTTGTGCTACATAAGCATGATATAAAAATACATAATAAATATTAACACCGACTTAGCCAAGTAAATAATCCAGCTAATGCACAATAATACTTTCATTTTCACTTACAACACTAATATTATGCGTTTTATACTGAAAAATGGAATGTTATCATTCAGATTTACTTAATTATTACAAAATTTTATCTTTTATATAGGCGTTCCATGGCATTTTATTGCAATTGGTACACAAATAATGCATACAATTATTAAAGCCACTAAGTACCTTTAAAATACATTTTCAAAGCTAATTAAAATTTTCACTCATTAACAATGTAAATCAAAACGGCTTGAAGGTCTTGAGAAATCCAGCACCTATGTATAATGTGAAACTATTACGATGCTAGCTCGGAACTCTAATCTAACTAAAATTATGTACAGAAAAAGTTCAGGTTCACTTTTTTGTACAATTTCATTTGCAATGTAGGAATACCATTCATGAATATAAACTAGCGTTCAACAAGTAATGAAAGTAAATGCTTGATCGTCGAAAATTAGTGTAAAACAATGCTGTCAAAATACATAGGAAATACAAAACACAAGTATAAAATAACAGGTAACGCTATTACATAAATCAGACTATTAACACAATCATTAACAAACAAGATGTCAACAGCCGCGAATCCACTAGGCAACGTTGGATCAGCGCGAAATTGTTTAGCAATGTTGTCTGTCATGATTTCGCTTCGCAACAGTCGTCGGCAACATGCTGCCAAAGGATATACTTGCGATGTAGGTTCGTTGCATTGTTCAACGCTGCCAAACATGAATAATTGCCCAATGGATGTGCGACTACAACTATAAAAAATGGGAATAACATGAAGTGCTTAGTAAAAAGTGCCTTTCACGAGATCATCAGCCTAATATTAATTTGTAACAAGATTTTAACATATAGACATTCGTTCTTCTTCATATCTTAAATGTCAACGATTAGGCAAGTTGAACAATTACTATATTATTCCATGTCAATTAAAATATATTGAAATCATAACCTCGATTCGGAATCCATATACACAATGGTATAGAAAATAGTTAAATCACATACACAAAGTAATAATAAACAATAGTTTGTGACATGAACATTTAGTAGAATGTCATGGTCGTATCACATTTCTTTTTTTTCAATAAAGCAATTAACTTGTTTGTTAAAAAATTCATAGGCCTTATAATTAGAAGCCTACATTAATTTCAAATAAACGACAATCACAATAAGCTTAGCTGCCAATTAAGCCAAAATATAGTTTTTGGAATGATTCATTTTGATCCCATTATAATAATAAACTGCCCTGCAGATGTCATGATCTCATAATTTGAGCGAACAAAATAATAATAATAATAACTAAAAATGTAAAAACAAAACTACAAAAGTTGCATAGAAATATAATTAATATAAAATTGGTGTAGTGAACCCAACAATATTAGTCAAGTCTGCTATTTAGCATTGCGTTTTATAAATAATTACTGATTGATGAATGAAAGAATAAGGTCACTACAGACTTAAATAGTATTCAATACCGTCTACTATGAAGTAAATCTTCCTTTCCACGCTTAAATATTTGATCCTTACATCACTTGCGCATCAACGCGTTCCTTAAACATAGTCTATCTTACTAGTACTTTAACTTGTGACAACATTAAGACGTGGTTAAGACTAGGGAATGACAACTTAACTTTAAATAATATAGAATACAAGGCTAAGAACAGATCAAGTGCTTAAAGCTTGATCGACGTTTTTACAAGCATTTGTAACGAACATTTCCAAGTGTCTCGCGCTACGTGAGCTTTAATTACCACTGGTCGCTGTTGTGTAGAAGTAGCTTATATTTAGTGTGGCACAAAATATAATAGAAGGCTTAAATACTTGATTGTATCAATTATCAAGTGAAGATGCGACCAGTGGTCTTAGACCTTCGGTAGTGCGCGAGGTCTTGTTTTCATTGCTCGTCAATTTCTGACGCAGAGCTGAAGCGTGTTCGCTCGATAAGACAAGGACATGTAGAGGCGAGGTGGGCTTACGATCCGTCGCGCTGCAGCCTCGCCTGTAGCGCGGCCACCAACTGCTCGAGCTCACGAACTCGCTGCTGACTATTTTGTAGCTGCCTCTTCACGATCCTCAACTCTTCGCCTTGACGGTTAAATGCGAGGCGTAACTGGAAATAAAATAATTAAGTTTAGTTATTAAACACATACAGTAAGTGTAGAAATTAGACATATAATATTAGCAGGTAATTTATTTTCTATTATTTGGAGGAATATTAGTAAGTCATCATTAACTATATTATCTATGTTCTCATATTATATGATGAAAGCAATGTCAGCAGTACAGAAGCAATTATTCACAATCTTTATTACGTCCCTATGACATTATTCATTGCACTATATATAAAGGCAATCTACATTAAATGAATTGACTATGTAGATTGCATTTATAATTGAATCATGCAACTAAAGTGCAAGCTTCTTCTTAACTCTTAAAGTCTGTAATTTACAGTAAGCTATTTATTCTATGTATGTATATCAATAATATCAGAACACATACCTCATGTTCAGTACTGAACACGTCTCCCTGATTGATCTGCTTGTACAGCGGGACGGGCTCAGCGTCTCCAGTCTGCTTGCCAAACATACGCTGCAGTTGATGGAACTTCGTGTTCTGGTTGGCGCTCGTCTTCTGAGATTTTTCATTCACTTGCACCTAGGTGAAAATTAAAAATAATTGGTGAATGGACATAAATCACGACATGACTTCAGTTGGATTTTCTTATGCAATTATTTTCTTTCATCATATTTTTATACAAAAATAACAATTGAGTTTCGGTAACCTGCGATTGACTGGTAACAGTTTATTGTCGGTATTAGTAGTCAGATTTAATTTTGGCGTAAATCCTAACTTTTTGCCTTTAACACTTAACAAGACTGTGTAAATTATTTTATGCTCATAGATCCTATATTATAATTAAATCTGTTTAGAGTGTACTTACATCGAGATGTTCAGTATCATTGTTATGGTCGTTGGGTTGCCAGGTGCCCAGTGGGCGGTAGTCGGGCGTGGTCTCCCGAGAGAGGAAGGCAAACTTCTTCCTGTTGTTGGCGTCCTGAGGCTGCATGGCCGGCGCGTCCTTGTTGTTGGTCCGAGGCTTGTGGGTCGAGATTGTCACTCCTGGAATATAGTAATTATATCATAAATAGGTTGTTATTGTTATATTCATTAATTAAGACACTCCATCGGACACTCTGCTCTCTGTAATTCACTTTACACTTCAAATTTATAATTTTTAATTTGGAATTATAAATCCAGGTTTCCTCACGTTGTGTTCCTTCACCATAATGTCAGTAAATAAACATATAAATACGTATAACTCGGCTAAAGCCAGGTACTTGCCAGGATTAAAAAAACTCCCTCATTCTCGAGGAACGGATGCCTAAACCTCTGGCCCACTAAGACACTTCACCATGTACTCAACACTGTCTATTACAAATTACCTAGACATTATGATTTGATGCCACATACCTGTCTTCATACTGATGAGCAAAGGCGGAGAGTTCATACCGCTGAGCCAGTCTTTGGCTGTCAGCGCGGGCAGTGGCGCTGCAGTGTCTGGGTACAAGTCCTCCTGTAACGCGTAAATACAACATTAGTATAATATAAATAAGAATTAACCTGCTTGAACATAACTTCAATTATAATAAATAGAGAAGCGTTTTTGTAAATTCCAGTTACTTTTGAGATACTGTAATAAATAAACTTGCCGAAGTAAGTTTTAAAGATTAGGGATTTGGAATAAAGGGAGAGAATCGGGCCTTCAGCAATTCACGTCGGTTTTTCTGGTCTAGCCCGAAGTATGGCTCTCCCTTGCTTGTCGCTATGTTATGATTCACATTAGCTCATATAATACTTATATATTAAAACGTGAAAATATTTACCTGGAAACAGTCGGACTTGCGCGGCACAATCATGGAGATAGGCTCGCAGAGGCCGCGTGAAGTGTGCAGCTTGTAGAAACGAAATACTTCGCACGCTGCTGTATTCACGCCACGCTTTGGCATGAAGCCTAGTCCACGCTGAAAATAAATAAATTTATATTAACCTGTGAAGTGTCTGAACGCTTCTCTTTTCAAAGTGAAAACTGTCCTGCGTAGGACACTCTCACAGAGTTAAACTGCACTATATATTCAAATCAAAATTTTACAGTTTAAAAATTAAAGAGAAGTAAAAATTTAAATTTAACAATAAATTGTGATTGAAATTGATGTCTTTTTTTGATAAGCGAACTTTTTGTTTAAAAAAACCTATCATGTATTTTGGTGTATGCTTTGTTGGTTGTCCTTAAATAAATAAACGCTGATCTACGCGAAACAATGTGTGTTTTGTATTGTGTCTCATATATCGACAATAGGATAATAAGTCATACGTTGAAACTACGACGTTCTTTCCGTATTAAACGATGAAGAATCAAGGTAAACTGCATAATTTAAAACAATTTTGTTACGTGTTGTAAAAGGATAGAAATATCTACTACACTAGACTTACAAAAGGAATGAAAATAAATAAAGAATGTTCACTCTGCAATGATCTGTTAAATATTCTTTATTCTTACTCTAATATTCTTTGACCCTATGAAGAACGAGGTTAACTATATTAATATTATTTAATTAACTTATTAGGTAGTGATTTAAATTATTTCTCAAAAAGTGGTTACAGTTTAGGCTTACGACTTAGACTTCAGCTATCTTATAATTAGAGAGAAGGAGCATGCGCAACCGAACTAGGCGTGAGCCTGTATCTCAGTATGCAACGCCAATCTTATACTTATTATATAAAGCAGAAGAGTTTGTTTTTTTGTTTGAACGCGCTAATCTCCGTAACTACAAGTCTGATTTGAATAATTCTTTTTGTGTTGGGTAGCGCATTCATCGAGGATGGCTATAGGCTATAAAATATCACGCTACAACCAATAGGAGCTGAGCAAAGCGTGTGAAACCGCGCGGCAGTATCTAGTTACTAATAATCCTGGGTAAACATTATTGTTTTATCCAATCCTACTTATACTTATTACCGTTTGTATATTTGAACGCGGTTATCTTCAGAACGACTGGTCTGAATTGAATAATTGTTTTTATGTTGCATAGTCCATTTATCAAGGAAGATAATAGACTATAAAACATCACGCTACGGTCAATAGGAGGCAAGCAGAAAGGGTGAAAACGCGCCAGAGTCGCTAGTTGTTTCATATTATTACATATTGGACTTTTTATATGCACATTACTAATATAATACATTTATAACTATAAAACTTTAAAAACTACTTACAAAAAATATCACTACATAGAATAAAACAAAGTCGCTATTCGCCATCTGTCTGTCCCTTTGTATGCCTAGGTCTTTAGAACTACCCAACGGATTTTTATGCGTTTTTTTTTTTTAAATAGATAGATTGATTCTTAAGGAAGGTTTATATATAATACATGCATATTGCACCCGTGCGAAGCCGGGGCGAGTCGCTAGTAAAAAATAACTAAAAATACCTATTTTTATACACTATTGTCTTGTTGTACCTATGCAGTTTACGTCAATTATATTGGATAATACAAATTTTCCTTAATAAATTGTCATGATAATAGTAATTTCTAGAAAGAAGACTGATATGTACAGATTACATGGTAATTGGATTCATATCAAGCCCAGCAAAGCGGAGCAGCGTTACACTGGAATTTTTGATAACCATTTTACTAAAATGCAATTAGTGTTTCAGCGAACTAATTTGCACACTAAGTGCTGTAGTAAGTATTAATATAGATTAACCGTTCATCTGTCCTTGCCAAGTTTAATATAAAAAACTGAGTCACATATTAACTTTGTATGCAGATTATGATATAATTGTTTCATTAGGTACGCTACAATATTACTAGTCGTATAAATCTTATATGGTGTATTAAGTTCGCATAGTTATTTTTTTATACAAAACAAACGAGCAGACGAATCCGCTGATAGTAATCGATCAACGCCATCCATTATACACCCGCAACAACAGAAGAGCCACAGATTTGCTTTTTGGTGAAACTTCAATAATATAACATCATGCCTTTCATTCCCGAAGGGATATACAGAGGTGCACATTACTGCACTATTTATGTTATGAGTCCAATGTAATACCTTTTGCAATATACCGGACACATTTCCTGACTCCGTGCCAGCACTGAGTTTTTTTTTAAACCCAGTCGTACTTTGCCCGGCCCTCGAATCGAACCTGAGACCCCTTGCCCGGCAGTCGCACTTACGACCACTCGGCCAACGAGGCAGTCAATATACTAGTAATAAAGTAGATTTTCGCATGATTAACTTACTTGTGGGTTTCCAGAGAGGAATTGATTGAGGAAATGCACGTAGGGAGCTTCGTCGACAACTTCATAGTATCTTATGTTGCCGTCGCCTTTACCAGCCAGGTACACCTAAATAGAAAAAAAATTAATGAAATAAAAAAATCTGTTTTTGTGGGTGTGCATTTAGATATAGTAGGTTTCACCTGCAATTTTTTATATTTGATGGGCCGACGTTTGACCACTATCTCGCCTGGTAGTAAGCGATGATGATACTTTATTTATGATAATTTAGGTAGTTGTAATATTACATTATTAACTAAGTTTATTTGGTTGATTAATCTCTTGTGCCTTCAGGTTTAATAGTGAGAGTAAGATAGGTGATAGGAGACAGAATGTGTCTCCTGCAGTAATTCAGTATTCAGTAGTAAGATTACACAAACTATATTAATCCCTCCTAATGTATCGTTTATAGGAAAACTGTTTATCAGATAGATAAGTATCTAGGTATTGTACTGGTACTATTAACATTACTTTTAGCTTGCATACAATCTATACTAATATTATAAAGCTGAAGAGTTTGTTTTTTTGTTTGTTTGTTTGTTTGTTTGAACGCGCTAATCTCCGTAATTACAAGTTTGATTTGAATAAATTATTTTTGTGTTGGATACTTGGATAGCACATTTATCGAGGATGGCTATAGGCTATAAAACATCAATAGGAGCTGACCAGAGCGTGTGAAACCGCGCGGAAGTAGCTAGTGTAATATATAGCGCGATACAGATATCTCCCTAGCGCGTTGTCGACATACATTTCAGGCGAGGCTTTTGTCCAGCAGTGGATGGGTACAGGCGGATGATGATGTCAGGCGAATTCGGCCGGCTTCGCTTGACATGTCGTGGTACATTTGTCGCCAGTAAATCCTTAGCTTTAATCTATCTATTTTGTATGTAAGGAGTCTGACATAATAAGGTTATTTATGTACTCAATGAAGAAGAAATTGTTTGAATGAGAAACGAAGAAAGATTATTAGTTTCAAAAATAATACAACTCTCATTAACTGATTTTATTTTAAGCCTAACTATAGTTTTCTAGATATAATTTAAAAGGAATGAGCATGATATTTGATGCAGTAAATTATTATTAAGTACGACTTGCAAATTCATACAAAATAACACTAATCAAATGACGAAGCGACGTTCGCCGCGGTTTGTCGTATGTCGCGGAATGTCGCTCATGAATATGAGCTCCTACCGTGGCTTGAAACTAGTCGGGTAGCCCCGTTAGACAGTTACTTGGGTAAGCCATTAAATGTAATTTAATTTATGTCTCACGAAAGTTAGAATACATAAAGCATAGTTTTAAATTTTTTGATAATAAATAATAATATTAATAATTTTCAATAAACGAAGTTTAAAAAAAACTTCATCCTTTTTTTTCTATACATACTCTTCAAACTGAGAACCTCCTTCTATTTTTTAAGTGCTTAGGTAAAAAAATACTCACTATATTAGTATCATAATCATAGTAGGGGAACACGACGCCTGAAGAGCTGTCAATGGTCTCGCAAACGAGAGGTTTGTCCAGGTCATGTTGGTCCCATACGGCGTACTGACGGTCACTGTAGCGGGAGAATCCAGTCGTCAGTACCTTGCCCTGACTGCCAAGGAACGTGCATTTCGAGGCTTTAGTGCCTAAATGGCAGGGGCCTTCCTGTAAAGTAGAGAAAGATGGTTAGATGAGACTGCTATAAGTTCAATATGAGAGTAAGGGTACCAGTACTGGTACCGGGCTTGCCGAGTACCACAAAGGGACTCCAGTTTGAAGCAGGGGGTAAAACGAGGTGGTTTTAGTTAGTAAGAATATGATGATTAAAGTGTGGGAGAGCCATGCTTCGGCACGAATGGGCCGGTTCGACCGGAGTGATACCATGGCCTCACAGAAAACCGACGTGAAACAACGCTTGCGTTGTGTTTCGTCGTGTGAGTGAGGTTACCGGAGGCCAATTACCACCCTCCCTAGTCTCCCGAATCCCTGAATCCTCCACAATCCTCAAATTCCCAACCGGTAACGCACTTGTAACGCCTTGATGTTTCGAGTGTCCATGGGCGGCGCCGATTGCTTACCATCAGGTGATCCGTTTGTTCTTTTACCGACTTATGTTATAAAAAAATATAGGTATCCTCTCTTGCCTCACTCAGGGCGAAAGGAGTCACGAATCCCCCCCCCCCCACCCTCAAAAAAGGGTTGGCTGAACTTATTGTCACGCAAACAGTACAATTTCATGTTTCATGTTGTAAGTACTCAGTGATCACGCTTGCAACCACCTGATCAAAGTAAATGTGCACTTAAGTACCACGTTTTCTTTTTTTAGAATGAGTCTGCGTAGAAATCAGTAGGATGATTTGAGGCCTAGTTTAGTACGTACGCGTTCGGCGTTGTGATTGGCCGGCTTCAATGAACCAACCAATCAGAGCGCCGGACGAGGTTTCGTTACGATTACTTTAAACGTAAAACAAACTCGTACTAAGGCCTCAGAGTATTTTTGAATGTGGAACTAACCATTTTTTTTAATATAAACAAAATTCGTTTACAAAAAGTCTAAAGTAATTAGGTACAGATACTGACCGACAAAACAATGCCTCTCCTAGGCTCGATGACGCGCAGTTTCTTGTCCTTGCTGGTGGTAGCGAGCAATGAACCGTCGCGGTTGAACGACATGCAGTAGATCACGTCCGTGTGGCAATCTATCACCTTCACCGCCTCGCCTTTGCCGACGTCCCATACAAAGATCTGCAAAGGAAAATTAGCCATGGTAAACAAGCAGCTATGACATTTTTCAAATGAAACATAAGTAGGTATTAGTATTACATTTTGAGGGCATTATCTGATATGCAGGAATACAGGGTTATGTTTTTATAACAGGTAACTATCGTGTGAGACGTTGAAGTAACTAAAAATTATCAGTTACTCGAGTAAATATACTGAGAATTGTTCTACTAGTTTCGAGGCACAAAGGGACTCTTCCTTATGAGCAACGTGGCAATGTGCGAAGCTTACTAGTAGAGCTTTTCTCAGAATATTTAAATTTGTAACTCGTAATTTTTAGTTAATGCAAAAAAAATAAAATAAAATAAATAACTTTTGTTCTAAAACTTCTAATGAATTTTGGAAACCGTAAAACGTCTTGATTTGAAATAACATAACACAACATCACGCATTTTATCCTCGGGTAGGGGTAGGCAGAGGTGCACATTACAGCACATAATGCCACTATACAATGTAACACCCACTTCTCACTATCTATGTTATGAGTCCCATGTAATAGGTTTTTTTAAATTGTTTTTAAATTGCAGAGATATTTCTTTGATGTACTATAGAACTAGCTTCTGCCAGCTTCGTCCGCGGTCCTGGTGGGTAAAAACTAGCCCTACGTGGTATTCCAGACCATAATCTACCCCTGTTCCTAATTCCATCTCGATCCCTTCAGCCGTTTTGACGTGACTGAGTAACAAACAAACACAAATTTTCGCATTTATATAATACTAGCTTTTAACCACGGCTTTGCTCGCGCAAACAGGAATAAAAAGTAGCCTATGTGACATATACCAATACACACAGCGCCATCTATACCAATACTTTTGTTTCCCCTCGGGAATATCAATTTTTTCCGGGATTGAAAGTACCCTATTATTTAATCCAGACTTCTAACTTTACGTCTGCAAAAATTCAAAGCAATCTGTTTAGTAGTTACGGCGTGAAAGCGGAACAAACAAACAAACAAACTCTCTTTACAATTTATAATATTAGTAAGGATTAGTACGATGAATTCTGCTTAATACCATCTTCGCTAAGCCTAACTATGACGTATATATTTTATTTATATATTTTATAGGACGTATGTTTTCCTACATAAGTACATAACTTATGTAGGAATAGTAGTTCTTATAACGACTGTCTATTTTCGAGTACATGTTACTATATAAAGTAATTAACAGACAAATGCAAACATTGACAATGTATCGTACCTTGAGTACCGTCATACCGTGTCGTGTGGTGATAACATAGGTACAAGATCAAGGTTAAGATAAGAGTCGATTGTATCGACTCTTATCTCTCTACCGAGATAGAGACTAGGCTCTGTCTACCGAGATTGCACGCGGCACATTGAGTATATTAAACAATGTGTGCACTGCTTAAACTTTGTTAATATAATACCCTATTTTGTTAAGTATAAATTGCCCGCTAAATCGTATTATTGTAATGCCTATATATATAGTATTTTAAGAACAAACGAGGTGATATTACACTCAGAAGTATGTCTTAAGCAAGCATCTCAAAGGTGTGTCAATGTTTTTGGCGCCGCCGTCACTCTATAGGTGATTGGACTCTGACGTCTCGCAGAGTCTCTAGAGGTATGTAACCTGCAGCTGTAGCCAAATGCCACTTTAGCGCTTGTCTAAAGAGAGAGTAGAAAACTAAATGGATGGGGATGACACTGACAAGTATCAAAATTTACGTCAATTCCATATAATTTGGTTTTCTACTCTACATGTAAACAAGCGCTAAATGGCATTTGGTTACAGCTGCTGTGCCTTAAACCAAATGCCACTTTATCTCTATTGTCTACAGAGAGAGTAGAAAACTAGAGGTATAGGGATGACACTAACAAGTGTCAAACTTTATGTCAATTCCATATAATTTAGTTTTCTATTCTACATGTAGACAAGCGCTAAGTTTGCCTTAGGTAAGCTTAGATAATACGGTTCTCACTACACTTGTATTCGAAGATTTTGATATAAGTTTAAAAGGTATGTATGAAACGTAAATGTAATCGTGGAGTATGGGTAGTCTAATATAGAAATACTCTCAAGACATTTAAATACGTGTCTTTATCGATAGCCCAAACTCAATTAAATGCCAAATTACAGTGCAGAATTTCTTCAAAAGCACATCACTGTTATACCTATTGTTTATCAAATTTGAAGCATCCCATAACTTTCGTCGTATAAATAACTGTTCTGCTGTACCCCTACCGTTGCTTCGTTTCATTACAAGCATCACGCAAAACAGAATAATCGTGTAACGGCTTGCATATTCAGATTTGCGTGACAAACGGAAATGATATCACTCTGTATATATATCGGTAATCTCGAGTACGAAAGTGTTCACAGATTGTTACAAAAAATTTGTGTTTACATGAGATTTTGATGTATCTTTTTAAGTGACTTCATTTCTGTGTTTTATTTCAGGCGGTTACACAGCCATAACATCATGGCTTTTGTTTCTAAAACGGATGAGTAGAGGGAGAGCGAGAGAGAGAGAGAGAGAGAGAGAGAGAGAGAGATTACAAATTAATCGAATGTTATGTACCCACTTTTCGCCAGTTATGTATTAAATTATAATTAAGCCGCGAGAACTTACATTTTATACAATTTTTCCAGCGACCGATCACAAAATGTAGATAAATTTTGTAGTGATTGGCCCTTGGAACAAAAACAAGCAACCTTCTACTTTATTACCTCTAATTCAGTTAGTAGTAGGTGTATGTATGTAGTGTATAGATAACGTGTACAAACTGGAATAAACATTAAAGCCAAGTGCAGAGATGAATCATAAAGACAACAACGTATGTGTACGAACATTTGGTGAACGAATTTAAACGAACGTGAACGTGTTTACAATACTTTATTAATGTATTGAGATAGTCTGCACAAAAGTGGAAAGGAAGAGCAATAAAATCAGTTTTAGTTTGAAAGTTATTTGAATATATAAAATTGATTTTAAATAAATTCCAGTTTCTTGTATAAATTAATACACTGTTTAAACACGTAACGCTACAAGAAAGATTACAATTTGTGTGGACATATTATTTATTTAAGCTTCATGCACAAAGTGTACATAAGGTGGACTTAATGCCGCAGGCATTTTCTCCCAGTCTGACCTTTGGGTGATGCAGAGAAGATTTAATGGATTATTATGGAGTATTATGGATTATCTTAATAAAATTCATACGGTGTTTTTAGGAAATTGGTAAATTTCTTCGAGTAAGCAATTGAGATAAAAGGTCGCCGTTCGTTTTCAACAGGTCCATCTTGAAATTAATTAAGGAAGGCCTATGTTTAGCAGAAGATGATGATGAACACAAAGTTAATAATAATATTTTTTATATACTTACCAAGTAATCGAAGCCAGCACTGAGCAGTATATTCTCGGCTGTAGGATGCCACTCGATGTAAGCGACGCGTCGCTTGTGGCCGTGTAGTTCTACCAGCCAGTCCGTCAGGTGCATAGACAGACCCCCGTCCGGTATATGCCATAGTTTTACCTGTGAAAATCAAATACAAAATGAAATATTGATCACATCACATCTTTTTATCCCCGAAGGGGTAGGCAGAGGTGCACATTACGGCAGTAAATGCCACTGTACAATGTAACACCTACTTGTCACTTTTATGTAATGAGTCCCATGTAATAGGGGGTGAGCCTATTGCCATATACCGGGCACAATTCCAGACTCCGTGCTATTACTGAGATTTTTTTTTAAAACCCAGACCCCTTGCCCGGCAGTCGCACTTGAGACCACTCGGCCAACGAGGCAGCCATGAAGGCAGGCAAATATTGATCAATGGTGTGTTTTATATGTGTATGGGTATTCTAGGCTATTGCCTATTTGAGTTTGTAGCGACACATCACATGGAGACTAGTTATTATTTAAGAACGATAATTCGTGGTGTGAGAGTATGAGTCCCTTCTATAGACAAGAAATTACTATAGGTACTACAATTCGTATATATCGAATACAAGTAAAAAGATTAAGTAAAAACGCGGGTTACTCACGTGAATATACTGAGAAAAGCTCTACTAGTTTCGAACCACAGAGGGGTTCTTCCTCATGAGCAGCGTGCGCGGTCGCGGCGACGTCGAAACTAGTAGAGCTTTTCTCAGTATATTCACGTGAGTAACCCGCGTTTTTACTTAATTTAGTATGTCTCACGATAGTTATTATAAAAACAAAGTAAAAAGATTATCTAAAGAACCTAGAACAATTTATTACTGTGATACATGTTACAGCCATTTTTAATGAATCAATCATCAGATAAAAGTCGAGAAACTCATCAAAGTCAATTGATATGACATTCTTTATAAATAAAATCAATTGCAGTTCATTTCAAACAATAAATTGGGTTGCTAATAAGGACCGCAATTGTTTCAAACAAAACAATCAAAAGCAATAACAAATACAGTACATCGTTAGCATTTTTATCACTTATTTGCTCGACACCAAACAAACGATAACAATAAACCATAATCGAGAGAACACTGCTTGATAAGATAATTGAATAAATTCTCGTTACCCGTAATGATATAGCCACATCTAATAATATATTGACAACCAGGCTACACGCTTTCGCTCAAACAAAAAGCGAGAAATTGTTCAAACGGAACATCCCCAAGTAATAGGCGTCAATTACCATGAACAAATTGCGGATATAAAAAAGTTAAATAAAAAAAAATAGCACAAACGAAATTACCGTGCAGTCGTCGGAACACGACGCTATGATGTTATCGTTGAAAGGATTCCATTTTATGTCAAGCACGGGGCCTTTGTGGCCAGTTACACGGCTCGCGTTGAAGTCCAACCTGCCAGTCTGAAAAAAAAGATCTCAGTTATGTCATCTTATATCAAATTCAAATACTATTCGCATTCTGAAGTTTATAAAAATCTATTGTCGGCTCTATGCTATAAATATGTTGTTTTGTTTTACTTATAATTAAGTAATTTTATTCCACATTTCCACCCACTTGGGCAACTCTGAACCTAAAAATGTATTTTCCGTTGCCATGTATTTACTACTAACGCGAATGCTAATAGTATGACAAATATGCGCGTCTAATAAGTTAAGGAGCTCTATAATGACTTCAAACTGTGACGTAATAACTATTCTGAAACACTGACGTATTTAATAAACTGTTTACGAAAGTAATAAAGGTGTTCCGCTACGTAAAGATATCATTTCACATCAGATAAAGTGACCGCTTTAACAAACAATTAAGTTGCAACGAAACAATTGCGTCAAGCGAACTGCGAAGCAAGGATTTGTTGCAATGTTGCAGTTTTGTTGCAAATGCATCAAGATGATACACATTTCACACGGTATTTGCAATCACAACACGTTTTAATGTGCGAGTACCGCAATTCGGTTGTTCGGCGGATGTTTCAATAACGCGTGTTTGGCTACAGTTACTTTTGAACGCTATGATGTGGAGTTTAAGCGGATAATAGTTCAAACGCTATTTAGAAGTCAAGGTGAGAGAACCGTTTATATGCAGAGGCACATAACAAATTGATATCGAGGCGGTGCACTTTTAGACAGGACACCGGGAGTTTAATAATATCATTAGCAGCAGTACCTAATAGACTGTCAAGACAGGTGTATTGTGTTAATCACCTTTCTAGTGACATCTAAAACTTTAACATTAAATTAACAGATAGGTAGTTAAATATCTCACAACTATTTTTAGTCGAGAATATATATCTCAAAGGCAGGTGGATGGACCTGACGTATCACGCAACCATAGATAGAAAAAACAAAAAGGTTTTATCAACTTAATGACGATTCTTTTTGTTTAAGGCTCCGACCAAGACAACAAATCAAACTGATTAATCTGGGAGTATCCACCTTGTTCAAACACGTATAGTGTTGGGTACACAAGCTAGGGCGGTTCCGCCATAAACCAATAAAAGGCACAAATATTGGTGTTGGGCGACCGATGACGTCTTCCTAGGTCAGAACGATTCCGTAATAGGTACGACTGGATTTTAGATTCAGGTAGAAGTATATTTATATAAAGTTACGAATATTTAAAATGTCTGTAGCACTGGTATAAATTGATGTAGACAAAATCATTTCTGTTTTTACGAGAGTAGATATAGCCTGGGAAGGCTTTATCTACTAAGGGGTATTGGTTTAGCAATTTTTGCTCTTTATTAATTGTGTATTCTCTTTTTAGTAGTTTTTAAGTTAATTTTGCTATATTTCTTACCTCTTTATTACAACTTTGATTATAACTGAATTTTTTGTTAATTGTTACTGTAACAGCAATGAAGACTTATTTTATATTCATTTCATTAATTGTGAACTTTCGTAAAATATAAAGCAAATAATTGGGGATTTGTGTCGAGCAAGGAACTAAAACTTGTACATCACGGACCTTATTTCTCAATCCATTAGACTACGTGACGAAATTAAAAACTTCTTAGAGGTTAGATTAACCTTAAGAAGCTTAATTGATTAAGGAATTAACTAATCCTCTTTGAATCGGTGTAAGTATCACAATGGTCAGTTAGTATGGCTTCAGCTTGGGTTAATCTTTGACCAGGATTATGGTGTACTCCTCTGTATGTACTGTATGTAAGTACTATCGGCAAAGTTAACAATAGGCTTTTTAACAAAATGTTGTGGTAAATTCGCTGCCCTATTTTCCCTGTGGTCGCTACATTCGAGTTCATGCGAATATCGCCTAATGATGGTCGATTCCTCAATGGGCGACTTTGTCGAATGTACCTGGTTCCTACTGTTTATTCTACCTCTATAGACCCCTAGAATGTAGAAAGATGACCAATGACTAGTATTTTTTTAAGTTTTTTAGAACTTTTATGGTAGATTTGACCAACCACCCTAAAACGATCTTTAACTATGAGTTAGAAAGAGCACCTAAATAATAATCCTTAAGGTTTACCGTCAGGTTTCACTTATAAGTTGAAATATATGTCGTAAAGTGTCAACTATAACCTATTCCCTGTTAGATGTTCCTTATAGAAAATGACCTGAAAACGGGCGTTAATAAAAAAAATGTATCACTGAAATGTCGCATGACGTCACTTCTACGAACAACTGACATTTTTCGTACATCCTGTAATGATGTCTACGATTGTTGTTATTTTTTTAAACAATGGCATTGGGGATGAGCACTTCCAACGGAAGGATCATGGAATATCCGTCAATTTCTTATTATTGTCAGACAAAAAGACAAAACACTATATCAGAAAACAATAGATTTGATAACTTTTCCTATCATAAAGGCTATTGCATTCGTGCTATTGTTTCATAAATAAATACTCAGCTATTAAATAATATATTTTCAATTGTCTAGTTTTCAATGAAAAATATTTTCTAAGAAAGGTAAAATTTATAGACTGCAGTACATTTGTACTCGTTTTAAAAACGCTAGTCTTCATAGGTCAAGTTATTAAACGTCACATAGCACGCAATACTATGAATAATTACTAATTTAACGTTAAATTTATTAATAAATGTTTTTTTTTTACTTACATGATCCAAAGGCAGAACAAGGAAGGCTCCTCCACCAGCCACCTCCGTCACTATGGCAACGAACTTAGGGTTGACAGCACAGAAATTAGAATCGTGCGCATTCCTAGTTATTTTGATGTTGTCATAGCAACGCTCCCGTTTGAAAGGTACGCCGTAAACATGGCGGAATTTGGAGCTTCTCACACCACGGAACCATACCTGAAAAACGTCCAGTGTCAGCTGTAGGGAAACAGAAAAAGCTAAGATCATTGCGAAGCATATAGTACATAAACTAAATAATACAAATTATTATACAACATATAATAGTTTACTGTATAACGAGAAAGTTAACACATTGCCTAATAATAACTAGTAATAATTCACCGACTGCTACCGAAGTTGGTGTAAGTGTATTTCGCGTGACGAGTTATGAAATGAAGTAGTGTTTGGTCAAAGATACACACATTACACATACAAATCATAACAGAAAAAATCTATTTTATAATAGAACCTCAAAGAAAAGTTTTCAATCGAGCTGGGAGGAAGAACTAAGAAGGCTTTCCTATTTCAATAATTGAGATGTAACAACTATTAAGCAATAATTATGATAAACGTTTTCGTTATTCTATAAGAGTAACAACGACATCATTATCTGCTTGTTATTTACGCTTCCAATGACTGGCCGTTTATAGACGACCATCATCGGCTATGAATAGCAATCATTACGTCTGATTTTTTTATCTGTACTCTACTAGATTAGAATTGCGTATGGAATTTGAAATGATTGAAAAAAAGAACGATTTGTAACTGGCCATAAAGAATAGAAAAGAGGTTTGAATACAGTACAACTAACTAATGTGCCAAATATTACAAGTAAACGTAAAATTAACAAAACACTTAAGTTAGACAAATGAAAGTGACAGATTCTTTTTAATTTAGTTTGGCAATTACATTCATGCTGTTTTGACAGACAATCAGACGTAAATGTGACTTGCACGCGATTAGAGAAAATTATGTATTTAGATAATGTACGTTAAATAATTAATTTTGCAATTATAACTTCTTTCGTATCAATGTATTTGAAAATACGGAAATCCTGTATCAAGAGGATGAAGTACGAGTTATGTCTATTTTAGTGTTATTACCATAAACTCTCACTCCATAACATTAAGATTAAAAACCCATTTAAAACTTTACCACGCATAAATTTTACTTTCATTATTCTAAGACTTTTATGGTCGATTGTTATGTTGACTATTAAAGGGAAAAAATAATACAGAGAAGCAAAAATTTTATTAGGAATATCAGTGACTATTATTCTTTAAGCATTGCTCCTTCAACATAATTACTGAGAAGGTTTTAATAAATTGAATTTTGTACGGACTAACTGGCGTATTCATGAATGCGGGGAATTAAGAGCAATAACCATAATTGCGTAACGGATTGTTAATATCAAGTGTCTTGTACACACGCTCCATATTTAAAATTTGGAGCAAAGAGCTTAAGCGATGAACGCCTCTATGATTTATCGTTAAATGCACCTCGATCAAGATATACCTAATACGATACTGCAATTAACATTAACTAGCTAAATGATTATGACAGACGAAGTTTAATTCATTATAGATATTTTAAAATGGTCTTTTTTTGTTTAAGCAATACGTTTTGAAAATATGTCCAATTATTCTTCCTAATTATTGAGATATTGCGCAACAGATGTAGTTATTTTTTTTTAAGGCATCTCATTTCGTTTTCGAAAATATAACTGGCCCGTCTAAAAAATATTTCTTAGATTTTTCACACTTTTATCTCCACAGTATTAATCAGTGAGGATAGAGATGAAACATAGGTTTAGGGCAAACAATTGATGATTTGTATTCGACTGCCTAATACGATGCACCTATTTGTACTTGCATAATTATGCACATGCGTTTGTATTGTGTTCTTGGCCTTGCCTATTCCACTATCTTATTTTACTAGCATCCAAGCCATGTTAAATATTTTTAACATAGCCATTTCATATTGGTTTATATTTTTATAACTATCAA